GCGTGATTACAGCAGCAAGAGTTGGAAGATAGTACCTGCAATGTTGAAGAGTACTCTCCATTGCCAGAATGAGGAATTCACCAACGCAACAATCCTGTGAGCTGAAGTGAACATTAGTTTCTGCAAATGATTCGTTCACTGCCCAGGGTGTGACAGGACGTGACTGCAGTTGTTGAGACTACTCATCAATCAACATCCTGTCAACAAAATTCTTTCGTATGGCGTGAACAACCCCCAGTTACCAGCACCCAGCACCCACCCTAGTGATGATGACACATCCGGTCTGAGAGATGGTCTCAGCATTCTGAGGTATGGTGTTGTGGATGACGTTGTGTAACAATTAGCGGCGGTTTGCTGTACTCAGGATTTTTGTGAGCATTGACCCAATCACCGGACCTTGGAATCAGCTGTGTCTACTGTGAGACACACACACAAGTCTACGGGATTGCGGGAGCAATTTCACATTATCAAGAAATTAAAGAAAGGATGTTATGTGTGTGATTTTATAGATATCACAGCAATGTCGAAGTGCAACCAAATAAATTCCTAATTCGAGGTATTGTTGCGAATTGCCAACAGACTCGACTGGCCAGGATAGATCAAATAACACCACATGTCAAGGTGATCGATCATCCTCAGGGCAAGACACGCCTGTTAGAGCTGCTTGCCGACTACTGAAATAGTAGCCTTGCCAGGGGAAACGCTAGGTCAGACAGATTTAACATCCCATCATATAGCGTTAAAGGAAGGAACCAACCCTATTTACGTACCAGCTTATAGACTAACTCATAGCCAGCGCGCTGTAGTGCAACATATGGTACAGGGTATGTTAGATGAGAATGTCATTAGACACTCAAAATCCCCCTTTAATAGCCCAATATTCCTCGTCCCGAAAAAGGATGGTGGATGGCGCCCTGTCATAGATTTCAGGCGCGTAAATGATCAACACCCTGTTTGCCGGACTAATTGGTAACACAGTCTGCGGTTATTTGGATGATCTAATAGTAGTCAGTAAGGACGCCGATTCCCATCTGATAAAACTGCGTGAAGTTTTGGCCAAACTTTCCACAGCAGGACTCAAAATAAAACTCTCAAAGTGCGAGTTTTTAAAATCCAGAATCCATTTCCTTGGTCATGTAGTTGACGGTGAGGGCATACACACAGTTAATGATAAAGTCAAAGCTGTATCTCAGTTCCCGCGTCCTACCTCAAATGATCATGTGCGTAGCCTTCTCGGATTATCTGGTTATTATCGTTCCTTTATCAAGGACTATGCAACATTAGCATCGCCCCTAACGAGGTTGCTCAAAAAAGATGCAGTGTTTATATGGGATGCTGAACACGAGGAAAGTTTTACGGCATTGAAGACAGCGCTAACCAATGCCCCGGTTCTAGCATTCCCAGACTACATTCAACCTTTCACTCTCTGTACTGACGCTTCCGGAATTGGAGACGGAGCAGTGCTCATGCAAGAGGACACGCGTGGGAAGTTTAGAGTGATAGCATTTGCAAGTCGCAAACTAATTGATGCTGAAACACGTTATTCGGTGACGCATTTAGAAACGTTAGCCGTTGTGTGGGCACTTAAGAAGTTCAAAGACATTATCTTTGGCTACAAGATAACTGTTTTTACTGATCATGCGGCAGTCACCGAACTGTTCCATGGCAGAAACTTATAAGGCAGATTAGCACGCTGGTATCTGACAATTCAAGAGTTTGACCACGAATTTAGGTATTTACCTGGGAGGGCGAATGTTGTCGCCGACGCTCTGTCAAGAAATATAGCACCAGTCATGCCTGTATCAACATTCACTCTTTCGCAACTGGAAGATGAGCAACGACGTGACCCATAATGGTCAGCTGTTATTTTTGCTCTCGAATCGGGTGAGGATATTAAACTCCCCAAGTTATTTCTTCCCTTAAGTCAGTTTGAATTACGACATAACATACTCAATAGGACGAGAAAATCTCCTGAGGGTAATGTGTCTCAAATTGTCGTACCTGACAGGTTGTGCAAAGCAGTAATGACGTTGTCCCATGATGTCCCACAGGCAGGTCACCAAGGTCGTGATAAATGCTTAGCGGATTTACGAAAGAAGTATTTCTGGAACACTATGAAGAAAGACAGAAATACACATAGCTAATTGTTTGGCGTGTGCTCAACATAAAGGTTCAACAGGATCACCAGCCCCGATTCTACAATATCCTACACTAGACCGTCCGTTTGACACAGTCGCTATTGACTTGTTACAACTCCGGATGAGTCATCAGGGATCAGCCTACGTCTTAGCATGTGTGGATCATTTTTCAAGGTTCGTGGTCTTGGTCCCACAAAAAAGCAAAACGGCCGAAGCAGTAGCCTATGCTTTAGTGATGAATCTTATATGTCCATATACTACGCCTAAAGTTCTGCTCTCTGACAATGGCACAGAGTTCAAGAATCAGCTAGTAGCGCATATATGTGCACAATATGGTATTAAACAATATTTTGTGACAGCTTATCATCCACAGGCTAATGGCCTTGTTGAGAGAACCAATCGTAAAATCCTAGAAATACTGCGTCCAATTGTCAGCGGTTTTCATACGCATGGGAGGATTGGTTACCGCAGGTTGCAGCGTCGATAAATGGGTCAGTTAATAAATTGTCCAGAAGCAGAGTGTCCCAAATGACTATTGTATGAAATTTCGTTCTACGAATAGACGTTAAATCGTTTGTTATTCCTTACAGAATGGCTTGGATCTTCAGTGTGTTGCTCCTACTCTGTTGTGGCACCGTTGTGTTGACAGACATGTCCACGTCAGTCCTCAAACCAGGTGGACTTGTGGCACCTCTCGGACGCGTTCTCATAGTTGAGGACGTGGTGAACATCAAGTATGAACTACATCCACTACTCCAACTTCCGCGTCAGATGGAAAACGTCGACGGCTAACTACAATCAGCATTGGACATCCTTCGTGGTCTCAGCACAGCTTCTAAGAATTCGACAATAGTTTCGCCAGACGTTGTCGTTCAGGTTGTATCTCAACAGAGTCGTGTTACTTCTCAAACCTTTCACGCGATTACTGCTCTAGAATCAAAGGTTAATGCAATCATATTGGAGTCTAACCAAGTTTCGAGGATTGTTATTAGGTTACAGAAAGCAATCCTGACATTAGAATGGCTCCTTTATTTCACAGAATATTTGCATGCTGCTGAAATTTTAGTTCATAAAATTGTAACCTCTAAAAATGAACTAATAGACAGCATTGTAGATGCCGGGATAGGACGTGTGGACGCGAAGCTTGTGCCTGTGCAGACGCTTCTTGAAGCTTTAAAAATAGCCAAGTTGCAGTATCATTTAACTCCTATTTTTAATGACAATGAGGTTCACTATTATTACCCACTGTTGGAGTCAACTCTCACGCACAATGCAATTCTGATCCACATTCCTATGCGAGGGCACCATGAGTTTAATGCATGGCATTTATAACCCTTCCCCTGGTTTGTGAACGACACACTGTATACCCTGGATAGGCCTAAAGAACTTTTCTTATTAGATGAAGAGTATTCTTTGTTATCAATAGAGGATTCTGAGGTACTGTCACGGTGTAAGTCATCTTATATACACCTACACGTATGTCCAGCCTACATGTTCGCATTTATTCCTGCTGCAGAGGGAATATGTGAATTAGCAGTCATACAACCAAATGTACGCACAGCATTAGCGCAATGCAGTTATAGGCCAGTTAGTCTAAAGACTATGTTCCACGCTCATCTTCACAATGTGCGGTATTTGTTCTTTCCAAATCTCACTACTGTCATTTTAAAATGCCATGATGGTGTTAAGCAGCTAGTTGTGAAAGGGCATTACAAGGCTCCTGATTACTGTGAAATCACTTGTAGTACATTGCGGACCTTGCCTACTCATCAGCATTTTACGTTAAATATAAAACTCAAGTCTGCTTTAATTTAACTTCCTATAATGAATTTCACTATTAAGGATATTCAAATAGTATCAGAGAAATTAAAGTTTTAGCTTTCTTGAACGAGACGTATTTTGCTGATTTGAAAAATAACTTGCCATTTTACCTATCACGGGAATTTGCACTACCAAGTCTTAAAATTCCCTCTATTTTGTTAATTCTGGCAATTATGTTCCTGTTCTGTTATTACAGGGCAGTGTCACCCAAATTCAACATTGTTCATAACATACTAACCTGTACGACACTAAAGTCTAGGTCCCCTGTAGTAGCTAATACCCCTACAGTAGTAGAATCCCCAGCTCAGTGTCTACATATCTGTTTATAACATGGTTAGGGTTGTCTAGGATGTACTGTACTCTGTGAGTTATTTAGGCCTCACGGAGCTCGGCTGGTAGGTGACTGAGCGATGTAATGGGCCCCTGTCTCATCAACAGAACATATTATATAAATGGGTCAATACATCTGATATTATATTCAGATTCACCCCTGTCTATGAGTAAGACATGGATTGTACACGTGAGAGGGCAACTCTCCCAGGAGGGAGAGACCCATAGCCAGCATATCTGTAAGCCCGCACAGCAAGGCCCTTACTCCTAAGTCGCTCACAGAAAGTAATATCGTAAGGAAGTGACCTAACGTTTATAATACATAAACGCCGTCCCTTTCTCATTCACTCCTAAACAGTGGAGCTTACGGTCGATCTACACTCAGGAAATATATATACAATCCTTTTATAATAAAACAGGGAAGTACCGTTTGGGTTTCGTTACTTAAACCCAAATAATAAATATATGTGAACGGCCTGGTTAATTGCACAAGTAGCCGATTCATAATAGATTAATAGATAAATAGACAGATAGATATTTTGTAATAAGTAACGCAAACAATAACAACATAATATATACTTAATAAAAGCCTTCACACATAATCATAGAGGCCATTTATGGATTTAAATTTCTAACAAAATTAAATCGTTTTTGTCTATATTTAAAAAAGAAACTGCTTGTGTGGCTTCTTATTAATGACCATTCTCTCACGTAAGGCTGTGACAGAGTACCTAAAGTCCCAGGACATGGCCTTCTTCATGGTGGTCCTATCACATATGGCAGCAAACTCCCCACTGGCGATGTCTTCTCGCGACGCCCAACAGTCAGGGAAGGTTCCGGCAGTATCAGTGAATACTTTCCTTCGTACCTTGTCCTCAGACTCCTAATGTGAGAGTGCAACAGATAATATTGATATCATAGACATGGAAGAGTTTCTAAATTTCGTAGATTGTGTTTTATTCTGCATTTTTTTTAAATATATTTGAATGGGTATGACTGATCCTACTTGAAAGCTAGTTAAATTGTTTCAGTATGTAAGTTCATTGCATAATTTGGCTTTTTTTACTCGTGGTCAGCTCTCTGGTGGTTCTGAAATCAAATTTTTTTGAGTGTCAGTGATCATTCACTTCCACGCAAAAACACCAAAACAAATTGTTGTAGTCGACTAGTAATATGTCGTGTTAAGATTTTTACCTGGAAGTATTGAAACATCATAGAACCAGCCTCCAGGCGCCAGGGCAGGTCAGACTGAGACACTAGATCAGCCAGGGAGTCTATGGGGATGGTGACCCGAGGCACCGTCAACATGGCCGTCAGGATGCCACCGTACGAGGACATGAACACTAAGGAGGCAAGGAGCCACGTGGTCACAATGAGGCGACCTCCGTCCTTCTTGGGCATCCAATCAGAGCCTGCGAGAGGATGGGGGAAGGGTCGTCATGGCCATGTAGGATATAGAAGGTTATGAACACTTAAGTGACACAGGAGTCATAGGGTCACTAGGAGGAGGACCTCACCCTTTCTTGGTGTTCGACATCCAACTTTTCTAGCATATCCTCCAAAAGCAAAAATCTTACTATAAAATTTTTAATATTCGGCATATCTCAGCCAGGCCTGACTGTCATAATTGTCTTAAAAAAAACCCACTTTTTTAAGATTATCAGTACTGTTATATCCTTATTGCGCTCACAATACATTATCGTGTATTCCAACTACAGTACCTGTGTCATCAAACAGTACTTCTCAATGACTATAAAGAAATAAAGACTTCATTCAAATTTTCAGTAGCATCATATATATATATATATATATATATATATATATATATATATATATATATATATATATATATATATATATATATATATATATATATATATATATATATATATATATATATATAAGACGACTTACACCGTGACAGTACCTCAGAATCCTCTATTGATAACAAAGAATAATCTTCATCTACTAAGAGAAGTTCTTTAGGCCTATCTAGGGTATACAGTGTGTCGTTTACAAACCAGGGGAAGGGTTCTAAATGCCATGCATTAAACTCATGTTGCCCTCACATAGGAATGTGGATCAGAATTGCATTGTGCGTGAGGGTTGACTCCAACAGTGGGTAATAATATTGAACCTCATTGTCATTGAAAATAGGAGTTAAATGATACTGCAACTTGGCTATTTTTAAAGCTTCAAGAAGCGTCTGCACAGGCACAAGCTTCGCGTCCACACGTCCTATCCCGGCATCTACAATGCTGTCTATTAGTTCATTTTTAGAGGTTACAATTTTATGAACTGAAATTTCAGCAGCATGCAAATATTCTGTGAAGTAAAGGAGCCATTCTAACGTCGGGATTGCTTTCTGTAACCTAGTAACAATCCTCGAAACTTGGTTAGACTCCATTATGATTGCATTAACCTTTGATTCTAGAGCAGTAATCGCGTGAAAGGTTTGAGAAATAACACGATTCTGTTGAGATACAGCTTGAATGACAACGTTCATGAAACTATTGTCGAATTCATCGAAGCTGTGCTGAGACCATGAAGAATGTCCAATGCTGATTGTAGTTGGCCGTCGACGTTTTCCATCTGACGCGAAAGTACGAGTTAACTTCTACTCGCGGAACGTAGTTTCATACAATAGTCATTTGGGACATTTTGCTTCTGAACAGTCTGTAAGGATGTATCAATCACATTATCATCAACTTGAGGTAAGACATTTATCTGGGTCTTCTTCAGACGATCCGCGTGCACGACATCTGCGATCTGTGCATTAGGCTTCCATATTTTGAATTTGTTGCCTGCTTCTTTTGAGATTATGCGGAATGGACCAGAAAATTTCGCCGAAAGTTTGGAGTTCCTTTCAGGTTCTTGTAACATAACAGCGTCCCCAACGTTCAGTGCGATAGGTTTAGCATGTTTATGTTGTTTGATGATCATTTCGGCGCGTGACGCCGGTAGCTGTGATCGTACTTGGTTATGAATTTCTGTAAAGACATGAATTTGTTTTGCCGCAAAATCATCCGTATTATATACCGGGTATGGCGCCTCTGTAAGGATGTCATAAGGCAGACGTTTATCTGTACCATAGACAATATAGTAGGGTGTTTTGCCCGTAGAGCTATTAACTGACCCATTAATCGACGCTGTAACCTGCGGTAACCAATCCTCCCATGCGTATTGAAAACCACTAACGATTGGACGCAGTATTTCTAGGATTTTACGATTGGTTCTTTCAACAAGGCCATTAGCCTGTGGATGATAAACTGTCACAAAAGTTTGTTTAATTCCATATTGTGCACATATATGCTCTATTAGCTCATTCTTGAACTCTGTTCCATTATCAGAGAGTAGAACTTTTGGCGTAGTATATGGACATATGAGATTCATCACTAATGCATAGGCTACTGCTTCGGCCGTTTTGCTTTTTAGTGGGACCAAGACCACGAACCTGGAAAAATGATCCACACACACTAAGACGTATCCTGATCCCTGATGACTCATTGGGAGTTGTAACACATCAACAGCGACTGTGTCAAACGGACGGTCTGGTGTAGGATATTGTAGAATCGGGGCAGGTGATCCGGTGATCCTTTATGTGGAGCACATGCCAAACAATTAGCTATGTGTAATTCTATGTCTTTCTTCATAGTGTTCCAGAAATACTTCTTTCGTAAATCCGCTAAGCTTTTATCACGACCTTGATGACCTGCTTGTGGGACATCGTGGAACAATGTCATTACTGCTTTGTGCAACGTGTCAGGTACGACTATTTGAGACACATTACCCTCAGGAGATTTTCTCGTCCTATTGAGTATGTTATGTCGTAATTCAAACTGACTTAAGGGAAGAAATAACTTGGGGAGTTTAACATCCTCGCCCGATTCGAGAGCAAAAATAACAGCTGACCAATATGGGTCGCGTCGTTGCTCATCTTCCAGCTGCGAAAGAGTGAATGTTGATACAGGCATAACTGGTGCTATATTTCTTGACAGAGCGTCGGCGACAACATTCGCCCTCCCAGGTAAATACCTAAATTCGGGGTCAACCTCTTGAATTGTCAGATACCAGCGTGCTAATCTGCCTGATAAGTTTCTGCCATGGAACAGTTCGGTGACTGCCGCATGATTAGTAAAAACAGTTATCTTGTAGCCAAAGATAATGTCTTTGAACTTCTTAAGTGCCCACACAACGGCTAACGTTTCTAAATGCGTCACCGAATAACAAGTTTGAGCATCGATTAGTTTGCGACTTGCAAATGCTATCACTCTAAACTTCCTACGCGTATCCTCTTGCATGAGTACTGCTCCGACTCCAATTCCGGAACTGTCAGTACAGAGAGTGAAAGGTTGAGTGTAGTCTGGGAATGCATCCCATACAAACATTGCATCTTTTTTGAGCAACCGCGTTAGGGGCGATGCTAATGTTGCATAGTTCTTGATAAAGGAACGATAATAACCAGATAAACCGAGAAAGCTACGCACATGATCATTTGAGGTAGGACGCGGGAACTGAGATACAGCTTTGACTTTATCATTAACTGTGTGTATGCCCTCACCGTCAACTACATGACCAAGGAAATGGATTCTGGATTTTAAAAACTCGCACTTTGAGAGTTTTATTTTGAGTCCTGCTGTGGAAAGTTTGGCCAAAACTTCACGCAGTTTAATCAGATGGGAATCGACGTCCTTACTGACTACTATTAGATCATCCAAATAAGCGCAGACTGTGTTACCAATTAGTCCGGCAAACAGGGTGTTGATCATTGGGTACCTATCAGGGATTGTTTGATCATTTACGCGCCTGAAATCTATGACAGGGCGCCATCCACCATCCTTTTTCGGGACGAGGAATAATGGGCTGTTAAAGGGGGATTTTGAGTGTCTAATGACATTTTCATCTAACATACCCTGTACCATATCTTGCACTACAGCGCGCTGGCTATGAGGTAGTCTATAAGCTGGTATGTAAATAGGGTTGGTTCCTTCCTTAACGCTATATGATGGGATGTTAAATCTGTCTGACCTAGCGTTTCCCCTGGCAAGGCTACTATTTTGTAGTCGGCAAGCAGCTCTAACAGGCGTGTCTTGCCCTGAGGATGATCGATCACCTTGACATGTGGTGCTATTTGATCTATCCTGGCCAGTCGAGTCTGTTGGCAATTCGCAACAATACCTCGAATTAGGAATTTATTTGGTTGCACTTCGACATTGCTGTGATATCTAGAAAATCACACACATAACATCCTTTATTTAAGATTCGTGATAATGTGAAATTGCTGCCGCAATCCCGTAGACTTGTGTGTGTGTGTCTCACAGTAGACACAGCTGATTCCAAGGTCCGGTGATTGGGTCAATGCTCACAAAAATCCTGAGTACAGCAAACCGCCGCTAATTGTTACACAACGTCATCCACAACACCATACCTCAGAATGCTGAGACCATCTCTCAGACCGGATGTGTCATCATCACTAGGGTGGGTGCTGGGTGCTGGTAACTGGGGGTTGTTTACGCCATACGAAAGAATTTTGTTGACAGGATGTTGATTGATGAGCAGTCACAACAACTGCAGTCACGTCCTGTCACACCCTGGGCAGTGAACGAATCATTTGCAGAAACTAATGTTCACTTTAGCTCACAGGATTTTTGCATTGGTGAATTCCTCATTCTGGTAATGGAGAGTACTCTTCAACATTGCAGGTACTATCTTCCAACTATTGCTGCTGTAATCACGCTGGGAAGGTGTGTGGTTGAGGTCGAGAGATATCTCTGACGCATGATCCGCCTTCCTCTTAATAGGATTGGTAGACAACACTTTCGTCCTAGCGGTGAGCATAGGTTCAGAATGACTCATTGCTGTGTAGGAAACACCTTTAAACGTAACACTATTATTACGTGGATGAACATCTATCATGTTCTTTCGAAAAGTTGGTAGACCAAGTAACCCGTCAGCTGGCAAAATGAACTGCTGAACTATATAAAAGTCCGCGTAGAAGGGCGTACCACGTCTTGAGAATCTGAGTGGTAATGTCACCATTCCTTTGATGCTCAGCTGAGTACCTGAAACTCCTTCGAGCTCAGCGTTACTAGGCCTCCATTTGAATTTGCGGTGAGGGAATTTACGTTGTAACTCATGATATGATGTCAAGGCCAATACATTAGCGCAAGCACCCGTGTCTATATCAAGAGCCAATCTGGTATTATCCACTCTCACCCGGCACTGACAACACTTCCACTTTGCTAAGCGCCGCTAGTAACGAGGCCGCTATAGAAGTGCTGTGAGGAGGGGTGGGAATTACCCTATCTATCCCTCTCCGTGCTGTGGTGTGCGCTGGTCTTCCCCCGATGAGTTGTCCTGGGGACGTTTCTGCTTGCGCCTATACGACACCTCCGTTTCACTTAGGTCCACT